GAAGCCCACAGCAAAAGGTGGTTTCGGAACAAACAATCATATTTTAAGATTTTATATAATAACTATTCTAACGCTAACTAATAGTTATCTTTATAAACCCAATTTTAGCAATGATTTTCTCAAAATCATGTGATTGTCTCGAAGCCACCTTTTACTATAGGTCACCCATATGTCAACCAGTTGTTTGAGAGTTTAATCGATGAAATTTCAAGGACATAGTTTGACCTAATTGACGTAATAAATACTTAATGTAGAGTCGTGTTACGAAATTTACAATCTTGCTAAGCTAAATATGTAATTTTTACGTAAGTTTCAGTAATCAGATTTAATGTAATTTTTGTCACGTTATATATAAAAATACCAAAAGTTCGATTATTAATCAAAATGCAACTCCTCCAAAACTTTGTGTTCAAAATTAACAAATTCTGAAATTAGCGTGAAAAAATCAAACTTAAAAAAATTACTTACGTACGTACGTACGTATGTACGTAATTAGATTACGCAAAACTACGGTAATTTTACATCATTAATATTAACCTAATGTGGTCTAATTGTCAACTAACCCCAAAATTGTTTGTGCTAATCATCTTGTTATATAAAAAAATCCGACAAAAAAGATTAAAAGATTACTGCACATGAAATGCACCATTCTAGTTTTGGTTACTTTCCATTGTCTAAATATAAGCCTTATTTAGAATTGTATCCGTACACAACATTGTTCTCTTCTTTTTACCACATTTCAGTGAATAATCTGTTTACGCTAAAATTTTTAATAATTTAAAATGATAACATTACCGAACGAGTGCCTCTTAGAAATATTTAATTACTTCCGTAATAGCCATAGAACTTTATTTTCTTGTCTTCTTGTAAACCGCCATTGGTGTAGAATTATTGTACCAATATTATGGAGCGAACCATCAAAATTTTTCAGGGATGCAAGCTTTTTAAGCATATGTCTTTTGGCATTGAATGCTGACGAACAAGCTTCATTAATCCCTTTTAAAATTATTCTTCCAAATTATCCAAAGCCATTATTTGAGTACGCAAGTTATGTCACATCTATTGACTTTTGCTCAAACGATATATACACAAATCTTGACGATGGAATTAAGCATTGGCTCGAAGAAAAAGGTCATGATTATGGAGTAAATAAAGATTATACATTTTATAGATTTTATGTTAATGATTATTTTCTTATAAATGTCATTAAATTTTCTCTAATATCAATGTTTCTTCGAACAAGTAAGAATCTTAAGAATTTAACAATTGGCGTTTCTATTTGTAATAGAATAATATCCGAAAACCTTTATAAGAACACTTCTATAACCTCCTTAAAATATCGTCTTTTGGATCATAACTTTGAGGCAATTGAAGTATTAATTAGTGTTCTTTATAAAAATTCTACATTGACTTCTTTAGATCTTTCTTACTGTCACTTTAAAAAATTGAAATCATTGATAAAAGCTCTTTGTAAGAACAATACTCTGAGTTCCTTAAATCTTTGTAGTAATCAACTAGGCTCTGAGGGTGTAGAAGCAGTAGCGGAAGTTCTTCATAAAAATACCACTTTAACTTCTTTAAATATTGACTTTACTCAGATTGGTCCTGAAGGAGGAAAAATATTAGCCGAAGCTCTTTGTAAGAACTCTACCTTGACTTCTTTGGATCTTAATGGCAATTATCTAGGTTCTGAAGGTGTGAAAGCACTAGCGGGAGGTCTTTGCAAAAACGATGCTTTAACTTCTTTAAGTATCGGTCTTAATCAAATTGGTCTTGAGGGAGAAAAAGCATTAGCAGAAGCACTTTGTAAAAACACCACCCTGGCTTCCTTAAATATTTATTCTAGTCAACTTGGTTCTGAGGGAGGAAAAGCATTAGGAAAGGCTCTTTGCATGAATACTACTCTATCTTCTCTAAATATTTATAATAGTCAACTTGGTCCCGAAGGAGGAAAAGCATTAGCAGAGGCTCTTTACAAGAACACTACTTTAACTTCTTTATATATTTCTAATAATCAACTTGGTCCTATGGGAGGAAAAGCATTAGCAGATGCCCTTCGTAAAAATACCACTTTAATTACTTTGAACATTGGATATAATCAAATGAGCTCTGGAGTGGTAGCGTTAGCGAAGGTTCTTTATACGAATACCACACTAACTTCCTTAAATCTTTCTCGTAATAATATCAGTTTTAAAGAATTAGAAATATTAATAGAGGTTCTTGGTAAGAACACTACTTTGACTTCATTAGATCTTTCATCAAATGATATTTGTTACGAGAGAGGTAAAGAATTAATAGAAGCTCTTTGCAAGAACACTACTCTGTCCTCTTTATCCATTTATGGTAATCAAATTGGTTCTGATGGTGCTGAAGCAATAGCAAGGGCCCTTTGTAAAAATACCACTTTAAAAACTTTAGACCTTGGGTATAATCAAATTGATTCTAGAGGAATAAAAGCGTTGGCAAAAGCTCTTTATAGTAACAACACTTTGAAATCTTTAAAGCTTTATTATAACCTACTTGATTTGGAGGGAGGAAAAGCATTAGTAGAAGCCCTTTGCAGAAACACTACGCTGACTTCTTTGTATATTTCTAATGATCTGCTTGATTATAATGAAGTAACATACGTTGTAAAGAATATTCGCAAGAACAATGCTCTAATTTCTTTAGAGATGTATGGTTTTTACTCGATATAAAGAACACGCTCCTGAATAATTAATTCCTTAGCACAACTATCAAGATTATTTATGCTTTATCGAAAAATTTGCTACTTTTCGTTATTTTATTATGAAAATTAAAGTTTTCAAATCAAAAAACATTTGATTGTCAAATTTATACGACATAAATTAGTATATTACGTAGAAATAGATGTTTAGAGCTATTTTATTTTATTTTTTTTATGTATAAACAAAGAATGTACTTAAATGTTTCGAGAATAAAAAGCATTTATTTATATAAACGTTAGGATTTTCTTTTAGTATTTTAGATTGTCTGCACTATTCACATACGTACATAATTCCTACCTTAAATCTATAAAAAAAACCTTTAACATTAATATATACGTATTCAAATAATTTAATATTTTTATTTCGATACATACTATTATACGTCCGTATGTAAAAACCATTTTCATTTGGTTGTTCTATATACACACGTACTTTATAAATTATACACATTTATTACATACTCCATTTTACTTCTAATGATTTGAACCGAGAAAACTTTCCTTAATCGGCTAACCGAACCTAATTATTTCATTCAGCCATTGCCAACCGGTTAGGATTAATATCTCGGAACCTCTCGGAGCTTTGCTCGAATTTTGTCCAGTCTTTTATGTTCATTCATCTTCTATTCGGACCTTTTCGGAACCTTTACTCTCTCCTTACTGAAAAGATATGACTGATTATAATAATCTGAAGATTTTTTTACCATTGTAGGTACTGTAGGTACCAGTGTTGGCACTTCAAATGACAAATGACCAAATGAATTGGTCATTGGTCATTTCGTCATTTACATTTGAAATGACTAAATGACTCATATAAAAGATTATACACGCATCTGCCTGTATCTTATTGGCTGACATATGGTCGTTGTTCAATCAGGTGATGCCGCTGATTTAATACATATATAATATATTAGATAACAAATGACAAATGACCTGAGGTCATTTGGGGTGTTCTCAAGCGCCTTAGTCGATTGGTCGGAATAGATCGGGAAGCAAATTTTAATTAGTAAAAAAATGATTTTCCGTATCAATTGTATTTAATATTCCAATGAATGATGTAGAGCTGCGATAGTTTAATATATCATAGAGAAAAATTTAATTATCGGAAGACCGTTTAGCCGATCAAAAACACTTATCATTCCAATTGATAAGAAATGGAGGTCCAAACATCCTTTTTTTTTCATAGATTTGCGCTGATTGGCTAAAATTTTTCATTGATGGATTACAAAAAATAACCGTTCAAACACATTACCCTTTTTTACCAATATGGATCTTCAAAATTGTAGTCAGCGTTTATGTTAGAAAAACCTTCGCTATGAATAAAAACTAGAATTTTACAAATAGCCATACTTATCATATTCTAGTCTTTATTTATCAGTTATATGGCATTAAATACAACCATCCCATTTATTCTTCCTTCACAAGATGTAATGACTCAACGTCAAAGTTAAAAGCGAACCTAAAAAATTTTCACATTCAATATTTGTTTACTTATAGTAAAGGATCCAGAAAAAGTTGTATCTGCTAGTTTTGTTGTAGCAACATATGAAAGTTGGCAAAGTCTGAAAATGATGAAACAGAAACTGTAATTTCTGACATGGGTCTTTGGTTTCTATTGGTTCATCGTCTTTTTTTTTATTTTTATTTTTATTTTTTTATTACGGTTTTGTAAAAGCAATAATTTTTTAATGGTAACGATAAGATAGTGATAATAAAAGTGTTTGCACAACCATCAATCGAAATCAGTATTTTAATTATTGCAACGCTTGAACGTAAACACAATTACGAGTTAATTACATTGAGGAAGATACGTGAGAATACGTCAATTACATTATCATTTGCCCTATTGATCTTTAACAAAGTCTTATTAAATTTTACCATAACGGATGAGCACCATTACAATCATTTACTAACTAATTGAGTATGCTACTTGAGAACACCCTAAGAAGGATATTGCACTCTTTAGAATCTTCTGGTAAAATCATTCAAACGGATCTATTATCAGTTATGTCGTTTTATACAGCAGAGGTCATTTTCGATTTTTAACAAAGTAAAGTTTCCAATTATATAAATTCACTTTGTATTTTTGATACGCAAACCCGGGTTATACTTGACGTACCCCGACGCACTTTCGACGCATCAAACAAGGTAGGGCAGCTGTTAAAAATCGAAAAATCACTGTGTTACAGGGCTATGTAATACGTATAAATATTAATATTAATCCTTTCACTTCCCACAAGATAAAAATTAATACGCAAAGTTGAGAAAATAGAAAATGTCATATGGAACAAACCAAGGATCTTACCCAGGTCCTCCACCAGCATATAGTCCTGTTGGAACTTCACACGAACCAATCATAGGCAGAGAATGGGAAGGTGACGATGTTCCTGAGGATTTTAAGCATGGTGTATCAGTTTCAGAGTGCAGCCTCAGTATTCGAATGGGTTGGTTCTTATTGATCGTAAATTTTAGCTATTTGTCACAGAGAACTAACGTACTTTTATAGCTTTTGTGCGTAAGGTCTATTCGATTTTGTTTGCACAAATTGGTTTAACGACTGTTGTGGCCGCAGTTTTTATGAATAATGCTAGTATCAGAGATTGGGTTCAAGGGTATAAAACTTTGCTACTTCTGTAGACCTGTCATTTAGATGGTGTTAACAATAATGTTGATAATTTAGCGATAGCGGGTTTTGGGCTTTGATCATTTCTATGGTTGCAACGTTTGTTCTTTTATTACTTCTCATGTGGAAACGTCGTTCTTACCCTACCAATTTTGCCCTGTTGGCCGCTTTTACGCTTGCCGAGAGTTATTCAATTGGAACACTTGGTTTGTCTTCATAGATATGTAAACTTCATGTTGAAATCAATTACCATTAATTTAATAATAATTAAATTTTATTTTTACTAGTGACCTTTTTTGATTCCATAGTTGTGTTACAAGCCTTTATTATCACAAGTGGTCTTTTCATTGGCCTTACGTTGTTTACCATGCAATCTAAATATGATTTCAGTGGAATGGCTTCCTTGTACGTAAGCTTATTGATTTAGCATCGTTACTTGACTTTTAATCATCAATTTTAATTTCTTATATTGCTTCTTGATTTAGCTTGTACGTAGGTATTTGGGTTGTTGTATTAGCAGGAATTGTTTCCTGGTTTATTCCGCTCTCTACTGGTTGGGATATGGCACTTGCCATCTTTACAGCTCTTCTCTTTTGTGGATTTATTATTTATGACACCTTCAATATAATGAAACGAACAAGTCCTGAAGAATATGTGATTGCTGCTGTTGAACTTTATTTGGATTTTATTAACTTATTTATTGCAATCTTAAGGATTTTGAATGATCTGAATCGAGATTAAATTTAACGAGATCTTCTGGCTGGTAAAAGTACGTTACCTTATGTTTTGAAGCTATTAAGTTTCTTGCCTTTATAAATAGTATTTTGTAAATTTGCTTGCATTTAAATAATACGAGAAGTATGTTTGTATATCTATGTTAAATCAATAAAAAAGCAATTGATTATAATGCACCTATAAAGAATTTTATTTATTATTTTTTAATAGTATAGCTACATGGCAATTCATAATATTAGAATTAATACAATATACATATACATCATATGAATGGATTGTATACTATTAAAGGTTAAAAAGAGACGCGACAATTGCAAAGAAGAACAAACCACTACACACACAATAAGTGTAATATTTATCTTGAGGATCATAACTACGTGCCAATGGCAACATTCCGTGCAATATTACATAAAGTAGAGCACCTGTGACGATAGCAAAAAGAAATCCAGAGACAGCTTCGTTCCATACGGTGATTAAGATAACATAGCCCAAAATAGCACCCAACATTTGTGAAGTTACGCCAACGGATGCAGCGATTAAGAAAGCTTTCAATCGAGAACCGGTGGCATAATATATTGGTAAAGAAATGATAAGGCCTTCTGGGATTTTGCTAAAAAATATAAACGTCTATTAATGTAAAAGTTAAATTGATTTTTGAATAAAAATAATAAATGATATTTACTGTAAGGATAATGCGATCGCATATATAATACCGATTTTAGCATCCGCAATCGCGGCTGCAAAAGTGGACAATCCTTCCGGAAAATTGCTAAAGAAAAAATAATAATAAAATAAATAAATGAAGTAAAATAAATCATATATATATTTAATTTAGAAATAATAGCTTACTGAATAGCCAAAGCGACAGCAATTTGAATGCCTAAACTTCTGAGTCTGTCAGCATCATCGGATTTTACAACTGTCGTAGGTAAATTTTTGTTCTCCTCGTCGATTTTTTCATCACCAACTTTTTTCTCAATAATTAATTCACCATCAATTTCAGAATTATTATGAAGGTTATGATGATGGTGATGGTGATAGTGACCAAAAAAGTGTTTGAATATCATGATTATTAAAATCGTTGCAATGAATAGAGAAGCGGCCACGATGTCAGCGTATTTAGGATCAAAAAGGTTTGAAGTCCGAAATGATGATATCGCCTCAGGGTAAAGATCACCTAATGTGAGAAATAATAATATTCCGGCGGAAAAAGATAACGAGCCAGCGAGAAAACCCTTTGATTGTGTAATTCGAAAATCTTTCAACCATGGAATATATGGAAATATAAGATCGAGTAATGGTGTAAAGGAACCTAAAGCGGAACAAAATGCAGCAAGGGCGGTAAGCCCAAATCCAAGGCCTATATTGCCGGGGGCGAGAGTTGATTTGTCTGTGGCATATACGGATGGCGGAGGAGGAGGATTGGTACTAGAAGTTCCATGAGCTGTGATACTTGTCGAGGCCAATGCGATGACCAAGACTAAAGAAATTAATAAAGCTTTGTTTGTTTTTAGTACCGACATAAGAGAATGAATATGTGAAGGATAATAAAAATTTCTGAATAAAAAGAACAAAAATTTGAAGAAAAATTTTTAAGAGGGTGAACTGTTTAAATAGATGACAATCACAATTAAAATATAATTTTTGAGAGAGTTTGTAATTCTGTAATTCACGATGCACAAACATCAATTTTTATAGGGTTATGATAATAAACCCTCGTTTTATTTTAATTCTTTTAACCTTTTGAAGTAATGAATATTATCTAAAATTGATTGATTAAAATGAAACTCAAAATTGAATATTGTGTAAACAAATGCAGACTGAAATTGTTCAAATTAGTGTGCACAAATTCTTTGCTAATGGGTTCACCAGTTCTTTGGATTTTAGGTTATTCCGAAAATGAAATATTGGGAATTTTGTGAACCATCATCTGAACTTAATCTTGAAAATCTAATTGATCTTACTATTCACGACACAAATATTCATTATGAACATTCGTAATACCCCTTTTTGTTACAAAGATGTTTTAATTTTTGTTTCAAGTGCAGATAACAACAAACTTAATGTAATATATGTAATTTATATAATATAAATGCGAGACGAGGTAGGATATAATTAATGTCAGATATAATTTGCCATTCATTATTATGTTACATATTTAGATTTCAAGGATTTTTTAATCCCCGAAATCGAATGAGTCTAAACATTTACTATAGATTTGAAAAAGTGGCGGCGCTTAATTCGATGAATATTTAATTTCAGAATGGTACGGTATTTCAAGTCTTTTACGTTATAAGGCATTAAAGAATTCTCTTACATTGAAAGTTTCAGCCGTATTTTTTATTATCCCAAATTTTCATGAACTAATACATAGAGCATTTAATTATATATACTGTTGTAGCAATCAAATATTCGCGACTTTAGATCTTTTTATACAATGTACGCACAAATTAGTCTATTTTATAAGCAAAATGCAGGAACCGATACACACAATAACCATTGACAAAGGTTGCATAATGGTTCGTTCGTATATACATATCTGCATCACGTTATTAAAGTTCTTTTTTTGAAAATATCTTGTTTGATAAATCACTATCGCTATATTTGTATTAGTAAAATTTTTTTAGATGTTTAAAAAGGTAAATTCTGAAACTTTAAACGTACTTTTTTGATACAGTTCGTATCATGGCCCTCGGACGTTGATAGTAAACAAAAATAGCTAGTGAAATTTTATAAATTTACATTTATTAAGTATAAATTTTAATGTAATCATATTTTTCTTTCATTTATCTATCATTTCAGTGAATAATTACTCATTTATTTATGTAAATAAGTTCGCCAATGATCACATGTTTAGTGCAAAAGTAGCAAATAAAAAATAGCAATATTTTGGGGGCCCTCATGTCAAGAAAATCCTGAGCTGCAGATCACTTCCGATCTGTTCCCGGAGGCCGATTTGCGATAGATTTGCGATTAGTAGATTGAATCAAGATAAACGTTGAAGTAAATGTTGAAGTAAACATTGAAGTAAACGTTGAAGTGATCGTTAAGGTAAACGTTGAAGTGATCGTTGAAGTGAACGTTAAGGTAAACGTTGAGGTGAACGTTGAAGTGAACGTTAAAGTAAACGTTGAAGTGAACGTTGAAGTAAATGTTGAAGTAAACGTTAAGGTAAATGTTAAACGTTAAAGCAAACGTTGAAGTGAACGTTGAAGTGAATATTGATTAATGTTTATAAAAATCTTACATTTCTAAACAATTGGTATAACAATTTATTAATTCCAAACTTTTATTAATTTACAATTTCTTTTATTACAGTTATTACAGTCAGGGATTTTTCAAAGTTGTGTAACGCAAATCATTGCGTTTTTTGGTAAAGATCTGCAATTCCGTAGTACAAATTTTGGCCAAATTTTGGCCATATTATTGACTGCGTTGTTACACTTATGTTATGCAAAACCGCCTTATAAAGCCTCAGGGATCCCAGGGATTCCTAAACTACATAGCCTTAGGATACTTTTTGTAAAAAAAATTTTTAAAACTGATGGTTATTTTCAGATAATAAAAAATGCTTTTGTTTTTTCAATTGAAATCGGGTTTTAGAATACTCTTCTAATATATTTGCAGATCATTTCCATATCGCGTATAATCCTAGACTGTATTATAACAGAATTAATTAATCTTTATGTAAAGCTGGTATTAATGTTCTTATAAACGTTGATATTAACGCTCGTATAAACGTTGATATTAACGTTCATATGAACGTTAATATCAACCTTCGCATGAATATTACAGTGAAGTGCACTGAGAAACACTTAAAAAGATGAAAAAGTATCGAAGAGATAGAGAACATTAAATAACACCTGAATAGACGACAAAAACGCATCGAAAAAGCAGAGAAACAGAACAAATAAAATCTAAAAAATGTGCAACAAATGTATCATATAACTCCGGAAGCGATTTGCAGCTTGGGATTTTCTTGACATAAGGATTCCCTATTTTAGAGAATAGATTGTAGTGCAACCAAAATTCAGCAGATCGGCCCGAATTTAGGGTCGGAATGGGCCGGATTTGATAAATTTTTCTAAATTTTCCCAAATTTTTACTAATTAACTGGCAGCCTATATATTAAGTAAAATTGCTCAGCTGCTAATTTTTGCTATAGTATAGTGCTAATATGGTTAGCAAGTATTATTGCTTAATGCCAGTCAAGCTCCGGCTTATTCTGACCCTAAATTTGGGCCGATCAGCTGAATTTTGGTTGCGCTACTATTTTAGATGCTACAAAAATCTGAGAACTGTACAAACAGTACATAATAATTTTATAATTAAGGGGTACTTTGACGAATTAGGATATCTCATTGATCTAGTATTTAGCGTTAAATTTGGGAAAACTAAATAATATGAAATATCTCAATTTGTATTAACCATTAAATAAAAATATTTCAGAATCCAGTTTAGCGATTTTTTAACAATTGATTAGATAGAGAATCAAGTTATACAAAAACCGTTTAAACTCTATCAAGGTAATTTTTCAAATTGTGTATTGTTTTTTATCTGCAAAGAAAAATGAATTCAATGGCAAAATGTTGTTACTCACATGTTACTATCAGGGCTGAATTTGATAAATAAAATGAACCTGAGTTGAGCAATGTAACGTAAAAATCGAAGCGAACCTGCTTTTTTATAATTAAGAAACATCTACTACGGCCTAATTAAAAATGTTCATTGTGAAATTTTACCGGTAAATATCAAGCTATTTTAACCCTAACCCAAAATACAACACAGTTTTATTGACTTTGGCTTTTACAGAAAGAATAATTTTCGAGTACTTGTAAAATTAGGTAAAATTACTGTAACATATAAATCTTGAGGTAAGTTACCAAAATGGCAAGTTACCAATAAGTTACCGCTAAAGTAATTTGTACTTTATTTTTAAAAGTATCTGTTAAGTCACCTCGTAAAATATTTGGTGTTTAATTGATTATAATTCTGTAATTAAAGTATTGTTATACGGATTTCTTACAATTAATTAGTGACTGGGGCGAATTAAACTCTCATACTTTTTTATTCGAGTAATTCTGGTTATGATATTTAAATCATTAATAAGCGAGTTACATAAATAAATATATTCAAATAGCAAGTAACACAAAGTAAATATAATTCACAGCTGTACTTGTTTGTGCCATTACTAATTTATTATTATTTTTTTTAATTCAAAAAAAAAAATTAGAAAAATGTAAAGAAAATAGTATAGCCGTCAATAACTACTTTACAATAACTATAAAGTTTATTCAACTTATATTTTATAAAGCAATATATTTTATTTAGCATATTATAATAAGAATTACTATATTTATTAACTAGAAATATTGCATTTAGTAAATTAATATTTTTTTAAAATATAATATTTAAAAATAAGCTAAAATAAACAAGATTGCTAATATATATAATATATATACTGTAAATATTTTTTTTATTAATATTTTTTTTTAATTTGGCAATCCTGCCTTTATTGGTCTAGAAGTAAATATATAATAAAATATACAAAGTGTCTGAACAAAAAGTCTGCAATAACTAAATACCTTCAACCCTTTTATTTTTCAATAAAAACTTATTGTAATAGTGCCCAGGTGTGATCTGCCACAGCAATAATTCACTCATTTTTGGTGTCTAACTTGCTAGGTGACCACTTAATATAGTTACAAAAAAATATTAAAAATTACTAAAAGCTTATTGCTAGTTTTGTCAAGATTGTTTTTTCTTAATATTTTTTTTTTTTCAAAGAAATAGTAGAAATAAAAAACAAAAAAAAACAAATATAGCTATAAAAAAATAAAAAAAAAAAACAGAAAAAAAAAGAAAATATACAAACACAAATAAGAAGAGAAATAAAAAAAAAAATAAACAAAAAATCAAAAAGGATAGTATAAAATTTTATCTAATATAAGTCTAGCTATGATACTATTATTACCTCTTTACAGAGTAATTTACCAAATAAGACTCTAAGACTTTAGCCACCAACTTAATTTGGGGTATTTATCTTTGTAATAAACCTAACAGAATAGTATATATCTTACATATATATTCATCTGCATGTTCAGTAATTTCTTTCTAATTAGTACTCACTGTGCTACTATTACCGGGTTCATATCTCAAGCCAATTTTTGAATGCTACTATAATCTGATCTATATCTTAAGCCACAATCTTCTTAATTAATCATCTATTATTTACTTCTACTCTTGCAAGGTTTACAGCAACCCCAGTATTTATATTTCAACTATCTTCTTACCCGGATTCTTTATCAGTCTCTCTCTTACTTCTAGCTAGCAGCTTGAAAGAGTTAGTTTGTTTAAGCTTTAGGTGTCTCATTATCACTCTTTCTTTGGTCTATACTTTTGAAGTATATACTTTTTTCTTCTAGTGTATCTAGTACCTAGTAGTTTGGCTAGTGTGTTTCTCACTTAAGAATTTGATTACTCAGTTCTCCAATTTTAGGCTTTAACCCAAATTTAGCCTTTC